TGAAAAGAGCATGACCACTGGGTCAGACATGATGCTCTAAAGACAGTCCACCCCTTTAGCTGGAGGCAAGGTACTAATTGGATAACCATGAAGCTCTCAGACTCCAGGCAAAGGCCCTGCGCCACGCTGATGGGTGAACATAACTTGACTTTGTACTTTCCAGCTCATCCTGAAGAAGTGACACCTCCCCTCCAACACCCAACAGTCCCCATGTTCATTTTGTCTTACTTTTACTGCATCTGAAAGGAGCCCTGGTGGCATAGTGGTTACGAGTTTAGCTGCAATCTGCATGGTCAGCAGTTTGAAACCACTAGCAACTCCGTGGGAGAAAGACTGGACTTTCTCTCCTCCCATCAACAGTCTCAGAAACCCACAGGGGATCACTATAGTGACTCAATGGCAGTGAGCTTTTTGTTTGGGTTTTGACTGCACCTGAATGTGGCTTGAATTTTTTGACCACCAGCTAAACTTGTTCATTAATAATCTGCTTGGGAACTTGTAGAGAATACAGACCCTCCCTGGCATGCCCCACACGAAACAACTGGACCACAAGGAATTCAGGCAACAGTGCTGGATCTTTATGATTCCTTTGCTGGATCAGTGTAATGGTTCATCTGGCAAGAAGTCTTTGCTGCTGAAAGCAACACCCCCTTGGGAAAGCGTGTTTGCTGGGAGATGAGAAGTGGCAGCAGGAAGGGAAGTGACTGTGCCGCCCTGCAGCTCTTCCCAGCAGCACTCGCTTTCACTGGACTCTGCGATTTTCACGCCCTCATTCATGGCAGCACTCAGTAGTGGTGAAAACCCAGGAAAGAGTTTTGATAAATGACCCAACTTTATTTCCTGAATGAATCACTGCCCTGCACCTAGTCTGTTTTTCATTAGCTAGCCTGGGATTGCCAACTAAAGAAATATGCAGCCTTTTATTTCCAGGAAACACGAGTTTCCAAGTACAGGAAAACCTCCCGAAACTGAAGAACAGGCCAACCAGATTCTTCCCAGCTCAGTATCTCCATCTACTGCTGAGAATTGGAGCAACAGCCCCTGGGGCACCTACCCTCTTATCCTTGTCTGTGATGATAGCCTCTTTATTCTCTTCCGAGACCAAGACGCAGGTGCTGTAGGAAGACTGGAGCATATTGATGACCAGGGAATTGGATAACACATCCAGTTTCTTCACCTCATCTCCAGTCACGTTCACACTTCCTGCGATTCCGTACCTGAGAGGAGAAGAGACTGAATGAACTTACAGAGACGTGGCTAGGAGAGAGAGAGAGAGAGAAACAGAGAGAGAGAAACAGAGAGAGAGAAACAGAGAGAAGAGGTTTGGGCATTTACCTCATATCTTTCTTTCCACCGCCTTGGAGGCTCCCAATTATAAACACAAAGAAGTATACATCTTATGTCTCAGCATGGCTAATGCTCAGAGGACCCTGGCATCCTTTCTCACCCCCAAGTAAGATGGTCAGTAGTCGTTGCCTTCGAGTCGATCCCAACTCATATAGACCCCAATGGTGCCAGGAAGAAAAGTGCTCCCTCGGATTTTGTAAGATCAAAGACAAGTTGAAAACAAAAAAACCAAACTGACTGCCATCGAGTCAATGCTGACTCACAGGGACCCTACAGGACAGAGTAGATTGGCCCTGTGAGTTTCTGAGACTATAACTGTTTACTGGAGTAGACAGCCCCGTCTTTCTCCTGAAGAGCAGCTG